GCTTTGTGGAAATGTAATTCACATACCCTACCATTTACCCATTTAAAGTACACAGTATATACACTGTAAAGTAAACAATTCAGTGATTCTTAGGATCTTCAGGTGTGAGTGCGGCTACCACCACAGTCCACTTTAAGTGTTTCATTGATCCAGAAGGAAACCCCCACCCCTTAACCGCTAACCCCTCTTTCCCCATCCCTTCTTCCGCCAGCCCAGGAAACTACGAATCTACTTTCTGTCTCTGTCCTGGACATTTTATATGGATGGAACCATACCACAGTTGTCCTTTTGTGTCTGGCTTCTTTCATGATATTTTGGGGATTTTGTTGTTTTCTAAGACATGGTCTTGCTCTGTCCCTCGGGCAGGAGTGCAGTGGCAGGATCATAGCTCACTGCAGCCTTGAACTCCTGGCTCAGGTGATCCTTCCACGTCAGCCTCCTGAGTAGCTGGGACTACATGCATGCACCGCCATGCCCAGCTTATTTATTTAGTAGCAACGAGGTCTCACTATGTTGGCCAGGCTGGTCTCACAGACCTGGGCTCAAGCGATCCTCCCACCTTGGCCTCCCCTAGTGCTGGCATGGTAGGTATGAGCGTCCACACCTGGCCGAGCATTGGTACTGCCTAAACGTTGGTAGAATTCAGTGGTGAAGCTATCTGGCCGGGGCCTTCCTTTGCGGATAGTGTTTAGATGACTAGCTCCACCTCCTCACTTGTTACAAGTCTTTCAGATTGGCTCTTTCTGGAGCCGGTTCTGGTAGTTCTCTTGGCTTGGGTTTTGCAGGCCTCTCCCTGCTCGTTCAGTCCTAGTTGACGTTTATTGAGTTCTTCCCATGTACCAAGCATTTATCTCGCATTAGCTCATTTAATCTTTCCCCAAACTTGATGAGCTAGGTAGTACTATTATCATCTCCATTTTACAAATGTGGGAGTGGAAGTAGGGATTGGTGAGATGACAGGTTAAGGTCACACCGCTAGGAAATAGTCCAGCCGGGTTTTGAGCCCAGACAGTCCGGCCATGGAGCCCCGGGGCTTGCCACCCGCTGCAGTTCTCCGGAGACTCAGAGAGGGGCCTAAGGCCTGACATGAACACAGGCTGGGGGAGGTAGGGTCCAGAAGGGCCCAGGAAAAGCATGTGTGTAAAGGGCTCACACCTCTAGTTGGGGAGTTCGGATGGCACCTCCCAGGGCTTTCATCCTCTGACCTCTTCTCTCACAAGTGCTCAGCCAAAGGGCAGCACAGAGCACCCTACCCTAGGGTGCGACACCCCAGCGGGCAAGAGTTTGAAGCAGTATAAGTCTGCCCAGCAGGTCTGGATGAATCACTCAGGCCTCTGCATTTTGCTCCTCTAGAGGAAGAGGCATGGCAATTTGTAAGACAATCACTAGACAGAAATCGGAGCAACCAGACATAACTCAACATAATTGTTTCTGCATAATGACTTCTGCTACTTGATTCTGTCTCGAGCCATGACTGTAATCTCTGTCACTGGAAAGCTGGTGGCCAGGGAGCCCCTGTGGCTTAGAGATAGAGCCAGGAGGAAATTTGCAATTTGAGTTAATGGAGTGTTCCCAAGCAGCCTGGAAGCCAGGCTGCCTTCAAGGTCTCTGGAACAGCAGACCCCCCTCCTGCTAGGAAGCCTGGTGTCAGAGCTGGCCGGGCCTGCTTGGAGTCCAGCTCACCCGCTTTGTCACAGATGGGGAAATGGAAATGGCAGAGGTCACAGGGTGTATGCCCAAGGCCACTGAGCAGCAGAGGCCAACCTGGACCCAGCACCTCCTCGCCACCCTCCCACCACCCAGCATTTTCCCCATCAGGTGGCCTGGCTGTCGGTGGTACAGAGAGGCGATGCCTCTGTGGAGCTGGTAACTGAGAGTGTCGGCCAGGCAGGGGTGCCCCCAGGACGCTGGAGACAGTGGGGCCTTGGCAAGCAGACAGCGAGGGACCTCAGTGTGGTGGTTTGGTGTGCTGCTTGGGCGTGCCCAGTGGCACTCACCTGCTCCAGCTGGGGCCACACAGAGGCCCCTCCTACTCTTTAAGAGGCCATGGAATGGAGTGTGCTTACTCGTTGCATTCCATGGCCTCTTAAAATTCCCCTTTAGGCTGGGCGTGGTGGCTCACACCTGTAATCCCAATACTTTGGGAGGCCAAGGCAGGCAGATGGCTTGAGCCCAGGAATTTGAGACCAGCCTGGGCAATGTAGTGAGATCTCATCTCCACTAAACATGAAAAAAAAAAAATAGATTTGGGTGCACCTGTACTCCCAGGTACTTGGAACGCTGAGGCTGGAGGATTGCTTGGGCCTGGGAGGTCGAGGCTGCAGTGGGCTTTGATTTGCCACTGCACTCCAGCCTGGGTGACAGATCAAGACCCTGTCCCCCCAAAACAAACAAACCCTTTTAATTAACCAGAGCAGCTGAAAAGAACAGAGCATGGGTTTGGGGATTTGTGTTTTGGGCTCCCCACGCCCCACTTAGCCGAGAGTGACTTAGGCTGGTGACCCGCTCTCTCTCCTTCTCCCTAAAGAGTTGAGAATGAGCTCTCTACCAGGGCTGGTGGGAGGGGATGATGAACTGGGGACTTGGTGCATCCCTGGGTTTCTCCTCATGGAGGGCCCTTGACCCTGTCCAGGTCTTCTCTGAGTGTCAAAGCAGGGCGCGAGGAGCTAAGAGAACTTCGCTGAGATCCTGGATTTGAAAACACCATGGGAAAATATGGGGCAAGGCGGAAGTACAGAGGAGCTTTAGGGGGGTGAGCGCGCTGTGATACTGTAATGGTGCGTAGGCATACGTGCACGTTTGTCAAAGCCCTCGGAGTGACCCCACTGAGAATGAACCCTGATGTGAGCTGTGGACCTGGAGGTGACGATGGTCAGTGCAGGCCCCTCAGTTCTAACAAATGGAGCACTCTGGCGGGGGATGTGGACCATGGGGAAGGCTGTGGCCGGGAGTGCTGCAAGGGGTGTGTGGGGACTTTCTGCTCAATTTTGTTGTGAAGACCTAAAAAATAAAATATATTATTTTATTTTATTTTTTTGAGATGTTTCACTCCATCACCCAGGCTGGAGTACAGTGGTGTGATCTCTGCTCACTGCAACCTCCACCTCCCAGGCTCAGGTGATTGTCACACTTCAGCCTCCCAGGTAGCTGGGACTACAGGTGCACACCACCACACGCGGCTAACTTTTTGTAATTTTGGTAGAGCTGGCGTTTCGCCATGTTGCCCAGAGTGGTCTCTGGGACTCAAGCAATCCACCTGCCGTAGCTTCCCAGAGTGCTGGGATTACAAGTGTAAACTATGGTATCCAGCCTAAAATCTATCTCACACACACACACACGATACTATCTTAACAGCATAGTAACTTTGCAGTGAGAATTTCTGGTGGGAAGATGTGTGACTTTGCCAGGTCTTGAATTCTAGCAGTGAGTTTACATTCCATAATTGGCCTATAAAAGGCTATATTTAGGAAATGGTAGAAATTTAACTCTAAGCAAGATATACCCTATTTCTAACCATGGCTGAAGCAACTTGCGGACATTCATTTGTCAAACATTGATTATTCATTGAGCACCTGCTGTGTCCAGGCTCTGGGCAGGAGCAGATGCACAGACATGAAGCGGGCAATTTCCCGACCTTATGGAGCTCACAGTCGGTGGGGTGGGTGGAAGGAGGGGAGAGGTGCAGTGCCCCCATTACGCGGGAGCGAGGGGAGCCCCGCTGGCACGCCGCACTGTGCTGAGGCTGCGTGTTCCAGTGGGCATTTGTAAAGTGGGATCATTGCTATGAGGGAGAGAACACTGTGCTGGGAGGAAGTAACTAGGGACTGTGGGGTAGATGCAGAAGAGAAATGGGCTGTCAGGTGAAGGGGCTGCCGGGATCCCATTCTGGCTCTGCATCTTGGAAGCCACATGAGCTTGCAGGTAATTGGCTCCTATAAGCCTCCGCATTTCCCCACCTGTCAAATGGGGATGATGGCCATGCCTGCCTCCCAGGGTGGTTGTGTGGATTATACTGGATAATGAGTACAAATGCCTAGACAGCCTTCAGCAGGGAGCCTGGGTGTGTGGAGCTGTTGGCCTCAACACTGTTAATGCACATAGGTACCAGAGGCTGCAGGTTCAGGAGGAGGGGTCACCAATCTGTGCATGGGGAGCAGGCAGAGAAGAGGGAGGTGGGCCAGTCCTAGTTCACCCTATACGGAGGGTGCTGAAAATACTTGCGCCAGAGCTGGCAGTGAAGTGAAGTTCGGCCAGCTGGGTGAAGGTGGGAGTGGTTGGGCACCCGGACGCCAGCAGTGCAAATTTCCCTTCTCAGCCTCTGGGTGGTTTTGTGAGCTGCTGGCCGAATGTCAGTTGATGTGTCCTGACTTTTTCCTGAGCTCCTAGTGTGTGCCCTGCACTGGGCCCGGGCAGCATGCAGGGGACAATGTGGGCCTGGAGGAGGAGGTTGGGTGAGGAGGGGCCACCCAGGTATGCCAGTCAAGAAACTGTGGAGGCTGGAGGGACCCTGAAGGGGGCAGGGCACAGTTGTGGGTGCCAGGCCTGGGCGTGCATGATTCCACTGCACCCTCTTGACAGCCCTACAGGGAGCAGAGTGCAGAGTGCTGGGTTAGGATGCAGGCTGTGCGTCTGTGATGGCCCCAAGTGACAATGCTATTGGGATTTGAAGCTGTTTGCAGACCACGGAGGTCTTGGACACGCTCAGTTACCACGCCGGTTTGTAGTGACCAGCGACCTCACTTGAGGGGCGGCCAGCATCTCACCTCCGGGCTTCTGTCAATGTAGTCGTGGGCTTCCCTCCCTCTGGGGTGCAGCAGCCTCGGGCAGGTAGCACTGCCCACGGTGGCTGGCCAGAGCCAGGAGCCAGGGGTTCTGAATTTCACATGGCACTTGCAGAGGCTGTGATACCCCAACAGGCGCAACAGAAGTAACCAGAGGGAGGGGCATGGGCTCCGGCTGGGTCGTCATAGCCCGCATGACCTGTCACTCTTGTCTTCCAGGGGCATGGTCTAGCGGCCTGGTCAGGAGGCGGAAACACGCCCCGGAGGTTCTGACCCACTCCCTCTCGGCCTCCGCCTGATCCCTGGTAAGTCACTTCCAGAGGCCGCCTGGCCCGGGGCCAGTGAGGGCTAAGGAGGGAAGTGGGTGGCTTCTGTGGTGCTGTGGGGTCCTGCCCACGTGTGGGGACCAGACCCAGTTCAGCAGAAAGAGCAGAGAGGACTGGGTATTGGGGCAGCCCACCTAGCACCCCTGAGACAGGTCAGGAACCTGAGGCTCAGACATAAAACCCCAGGGTCCACAGTCTTCTTGGTTCATAACCTAAGCTGGCTGGGTCTTTCTGGGTAATCGTGTGACCTTTGGCACTTCTGTTTGGGGATTTGTTGGGGGAATGAAGGGTAAACTGTGAGAAGGACTCGTGGTTGAGGGCAAGGTAGGGCACTGTCTTCGTGTCCAGGTTTGTCTTCTCCCCTGCAGCCCCCATGCCTGGAAGCTTCCTTCTCCCAGGCTCCTGCACGTGGCCTGGGCCACTGGATCCTGCAGACCCACCCATGCCGTAAGCTGTCTGTGCTGGAGCTGAGCTTGCGGCTCTCCCCTCAGAGCAGGGCCCAGGGTCTGTCTGAATCTGCCACCCTCCAGCCCCCCAGGCCCCTGCCTGTTCTGGGTGTGAGGGAGGCTTGAGAGAGGGCAGAGTGCTTCCAGCTTGAACGCACTGCCCTGGCCACGGCTGCCACTCCCCTGTCGTTAGCCTGGCTCGGGAGCTTTATCCATCCGGAATCCTTCCTGGCCCAGTCTGAGCTACCTGAGTTTGGGAGGGCTCCTCATGACCCTGGCTGTCCTGCCAGCTCCAGAGACAGGAAGGACCTGCCATGTCCCGGAGCTGCCCTTGGGTCTGGAGAGCCTGCCAGCCCTGCTATTCCCGCGCTGAGGGTCTGGTTTTGTTTGCAAGCAAGGAACCAGGTGTGCGGTGCTGGCCAGGTGTGTGGTTCTGGTTGTGCCTCTTCGAAGCCTGGCCAGTTTTGTGCATATGAAGGTTGATAAAACCGCCCTCTTCGGGGCCAATGCCAGATCAGACCTAGAGTGAAGTGTCCCTGAGGTGTCTGGACCGGCAGGGCCCGGCTGCCCCACGGCTCCTCCTCCCACCCTCCTCCCTCTTGTGGTCTCAAGATTATTATGGTGACTCTTGTCACTTACCACCCTGCCCCACATGCCCCTGCATGCTGTGAGCATCAGGTGGGGCCCTGGATGTGGCAAGGGTCAGCTGTCACAGGCTGGAAGAGGCAGCCCAGGGGGGACACCTGGGGAGGAACATTTGGAGACAGAGCCCCATCTGGCTGTGCCTAGCCCATGAGAGCCCTCATCCGCTACTTGCATCTGGTGAGTTTGGCCGGGTCCTGTATAAGGATTAAAGTCCTCCGAGTCCTCATACAAAGCTACTTTTGAAACGTCTGGAATGCTCTTGGCCCAGAAGGGGGAGACCCTCTTTATAATTTCCATCTTCCCACGCAGAAGAAACCACGTTTGAATGCTCAGCCAGGCAGAAATGTAGGCCCGAAACCTGTTAAAGTGTCACTGCCTTAATTTCAGTGGTTGTGAGGGGTTCCGGGCTACATGTGGGGTGGGGGTGGATGCCAGTGGCTGATTCCATCGGTGGCCCTGGTAGATGGGAGTCCTGCAGGCGGTCAGGCCCAGGGCAGACCCCGGGCGTGGCTGCTTTCTCGCTGGGCTCCAACAGCTCCCCACCCTCTGGCCGTCCCCTGCCCCACCCTCGGGTCTCCATCCTGTGGGTGGGGTGGGTTTTCCTGCCTTCCTCTTCCTGAGGGAGTGGATGTCTCCTTGGCAGAGTGGCTGCAGGGTTGGGAGGAGACACCAGGCTGGAACCTCAGCCTCAGGGTGCTGGTTAGTGGGTGAGTCTTGGGTTTTCTCTCTGAAGAAAATAGGCACAACGGTATGTGAAGCTGCCACTTGCACTCACTCATTCTCCCTCCACCAGCCCAGCCACACTGGAGCTGGAAAGCAGGGGACATCTGGGTCCATGCTGCCTGGATGTCCCCTGTGTGCAAGTGTCCTGGCCCAAGGCCACAGTCGGCACAGGTGCACAGGGCAGCGCCTGGCCCGGCCAGGCATACTAAGGCTAACCCGTGTCAAGAAGCTGGAGCAGGCAAAGGGATGAGAAGCAGGTGGAGGAGGTGGTCCAAGGTGTCCGTTTCCACCCCCAGACCCCGGGGCATTTCAGTGCATGCACAGCAAATAATACCTCTGCACCACTGCCACCAGCACAAGTGGAGGGACTCGGGGTCAGAAGGCACTTTCCAGCATGTGCACACCATTGGCCGTGGATGTTGTGAGTCAAGTGATGGGTGGTAGAAGGGCCTTCGGCTTCTCTCTGCCCCGGCCCTTGGTGGTGGACGGTGGGCTGCTCCTGGCAGTGGAGAAGCAGCACCTGCTTAGTAAGGCTGAGTCCCAGCTTCCCCTCCCTGCCTTCCTCCCCGCATCCCAGACACTCATGGGTTCCTTCCTTCAGCATGGGTTCACGGAGCATGTTGTGCCAGACAAGCTTCCATGCTCTGGGCTTCTGATGGAGAACACGCCAGAGTGAGCCTGGCCCGAGGACCTGGAGCTTCACTCAAAGGGAGACAGACAGTGAACTCAGTAAAACAGAAATGAGAGAAGGGATCTTGCTGGGAAGGCGATAAAGAATGAGTAGATAGAGTGCTTGGGGAAGGCCTTCCTGAGATGGGACCTGAGCAAAGGCCTGCAGGAAGCCAGGGACAGGCACGCTTCTAGCTGAGGAGCAGCTGGTGTAAAGGGCCTGTGGCAGACACGTGCCCATGGCAAGGAGGGGGACGAGCAGGCAGCTCAGCCAGGTCAGGGTGGGTCACACCTGAGGGGCAGGATGCCAGCAACCCAACCACTGAGGAAGACAGGCACGAGCAGCATCTCAGCACAGCCAGAGTCCCACCATATGGCGGCCCTCTGTGTCCCTTAAATAGGGAAGCCTCCTCCCATGCTTAAGAGAGCATTGTTGCTTATAGTGATTTGTGTAGCCAGTTCTTCTGGAGGAAGTTAGATGAACAGGGCCGTGGAGGTGTGGGCTCTGCAGAGAAGAGGCCACAAAAGCAGGCCCCCGGGCTCGCCTCCCCTCTGGTGCTGGCTGGGCTGCCGATCCCAGCTGGGCATCTCAGAGAGCCATCTGAGCAGGCTTTCTGAAAGTGGCCTCTTTAGTGGACTGGTCATGAGGCAGCGCACCGGGGAAGGGACAGTCCTCCTGTGATGTACGTTGAGGGTTATATTTAGGGTGACTTGGGATGACTTGGCAGTATCACTTCCTGTGGTCGTCCCCTCCAGCCCTCAGCCACAGAGGGCAGACGCTGTCTGACTGGCGTTGTGGGCAGACACGTGCCTGCACACATGTATACACACATGCGTGCAGGCACAACTTGGCATTCTCATCTGCTGTGGAATCAATGGAGAGCTGGGGACATTGTCCTGGCCTTTCTGCAGGACTGCCAGGTGCCTGGCAGGGGAATCCCGGCCATCAGTATCTCCTGATTATCCGCTCCATGTCGGGCTCTGTGTGAGGGACTGCATCCAGATCCCACGTGAGTGACACCCGCCTGGGCTCCCCTCCTGATTGGGAGATGCCAGGCGGAGGTAGAAGGAAGGGCAGCTGAACTGCCTGTTAGTCGGCTCAGCCACTGACCTTGCTCCCTGACCAAGGTTAGGGAACCGAGGCTGCACATGGACGCTCCCCTGACCTTGCTGCCCGTTGGCCCCGGGCTCCAGGCCAGGTCCAAGCCAGCCAGGCCCTTCCCCACCCTTGTTGCTGGCCTCTCTAGGAGGAGTCCACAGTCATCTTTTCTCTCCTTCCCGAGGCATCCAGCACCACCCCATGCACAGGACCTAGTGTTTCTGGGACAGCCCAGATGTCACATTTTCTCTCAGTTACCCCCTAGAATATTCTTATACTTCTCAGACTCTAGGTGCAAATTTTTAGCTTAGAAGTAACCAGAGACTCTCTGGTTAGAATGTATCTGATGGGGCTCTTGGAGCGTGCACAGAAGTGCCCCGCTGGCTGAAGATCCACTGTTCCGAGGCCAGATCCACGGAGGATTTGGAGGTTGTCTGGAGGAACTTCTAGATCAGAGGAACCTTCTCCCTCCCTCCCTTCTCGACTTCCTTCCTGCCTCTCGTCAAACAATTACTGTGTACTTCCTGTGTTCCAGGCACTGTGCTAATTGCTTATGGGATCATTCCTAGCCACACCCTGGGTAAATGGAACCCAGCTCTCTGTCCTTGGGGAAAGGGTCAGGAGAGGATTGAGGCCCAGCTGGGAAGCTGGAGACTTGAGGCCTTTGGTGCATGTTGGAATGCTGCCTCCCTCTGCCATCCAGCACCCCCGCACGGCGCCAGGCTCGGAGCAGGGACTGAACCTTGATAAGAGAAGGGAAGAAGGAGCTCGTGCCTCGCCCTTCTGACCAGCCTGTCAGTGCTCTGAGGGTGTTTCCATTTCTGTGTCTCCCCAGCAGTTAGCACTGTGGCCTGCACATAACAGGGTTCCATGTGTGTTGATCACACTTTGTGTGTATGGGTGGGTGTGTTGCCATGACTCTCCCGGCGGAGCCTGTGGCTTCTGGTGTTGGGATTTACAGACTGAAGATGGTGAAGAGTGGCTTTTATGAGCTGCCCCTACTCCTGATTATAAACATACTCTCTATGAGTCAGAGGCCTGGGTGATCATGGATAAGTCACTTGCCAACAGTTCAAGACTGTGGCTGCCAGGGCCCCCGAGGGTGGTGGGCACATCACTATTCTGTGCCTGGTGTTTCAGCCAGGCTGATGCCATTTTACTGAGAATGACTGACTGTTTTTATTGCTTTCAGTGAATCAAATAATCCATGCAATGATTCACAGGAGGTTTCCTTCCAAGTTTAAAAAACAATTGAAGAAAGTTTTTGACAGATGTGCTGAGCTCTAAGTGGACACCAGGCCCCTGGGAGACCTCCGGCCTTGACCTCAGCCGTGGGCAGCCCGGCACAGTGGACCTTGCCCTGCAGACAGAGCCAGCAGCCTGCACAAAAATCCCAG